CCCAAGACTTGAAATGTGCAGTTGTCCATGTGGGATCCAGCCATCTTCACCACCACACCATGGGCTGGCCCCTAACTTTTTTATAAAGAGAGTTATGGGACCAGCAGATGATGTAATGGTTATTATGTTGCTGAACTCCCACATAGTCAACTGAGTTCAAGTTCTGTACCCGGTGACTTAAAAACTCATACCAGGATCAAAACCTCCCTTGAAAGTATTGAAAACAGATTAGTCTATGCACAGAATCGAATCTCAGATGTTGAAGGCAAAACCTCTGATCTAGGAAAAAAAAAAAAAAAAACCTGAGAAAGTAACCCTCCCAAATGAGAACACTATATGAGAAATACTAGACACCATTAAGCACCCAAACATCCAGATAATCAGTATCCCAGAAGGTGAGGAAACTAATAAGGGCATTGATAATCTATTCCATGAAATTTTGGAATCTAAAGAGGCATTCAAATATCCAGACCCAAGAAATAAATAGGACCCCTAATAGAGTCAACCCAAGAAGATCTCCAAGGCACATCAAAGCTATACTGGTCAAATCTACAAAGACAAGATACTAAAATTGGCAAGAAAGAAATGTCAGGTTACTTACAAAGGTTATCCTATCAGGCTAGCCTCAGACTTCTCATCAGAAACAATGCGAGCAAGGAAAGAATGGGAGAATATATTCGAAATGTTAAGTGAAAAACAGTTTCAACCAAGAATACTATACCCAGCAAGAGTATCTTACATATGGAAAGAAAGAATAAAAACATTTTAGATGAACAAGATCTGAAAGAATCTGTCAGTAGCAGACCCATTCTTCAAGGCAGGAAAACTAGAGATACATACAGAAGGCAACCAAGAAAATGACCAATTTAATGCTAGGAACAAGAAATACCAATAACAATGTTGAATGCTAACTTCCAGGATTTTAACAGAAAGATTGGACCATGGAAAGATTGGACCACGGCAACACTGCATATTCAACAGAAGAGAGTTTGAACATAAGACTGAACTGGCGAAATAGAATTTTATGACTTTTGAATAAAACGTTACTAATTTTTTTTTTTTACTATGCTTTGTTTTTCCAATTTAAACATTTTACTTTCTTTTTTGGGGGGGGGGTATTTTCACTATAGGGCACGTGCGCTCGCCAGAGACATAGAGACAGAAAGCGAGAAATCACCCCCCAGGGGGGATGGTCACGCCACAATCCCTTCTCCTCCATTCTCCTCTCAGGATCTTGGGCACGCACACACACGCGCCCGGCGTGAGCTTTAAGCCACCGGGTCCGGGACGCAAACCACAGTCGACTACGTGGGAGTCCAGCGACATAGCCATTACGCTAACTGCTGGTTCCCACCAGAAGATTATCTTGAGAACAACTTTGAAGGAAGAAAAAGAGACTGATCTTTGCTAGCAGATGGTATATCACAGAATACTTGGTAGGCAGGGCTGAATTGAGGTTTATGTGTGACTAGTGTGCTGGGCATTTGCTTTTCAACAATGTGAGTAGTTGACATGTAAATATCTTCTCAAAAATATTTAAAACCATACTGTTTTTGTTGTTATAGAGTCACAAAATTATACAAAATTTTAAGAAATATTTTGAACATTATCTTTAAAATTCAGTACTTTTAAATTTTGAAAGTTGTTTATTAACTGTCAAGAACTACAGAGTATGAGCGAAAATTTTTTTTATATGTAAAGTAAATATGGAAAAATGTAAAAATAATCTAAAAAAAACCCAACTCATGCCAGGTGCATGTGAGTGTGTACACAAGATCCTGAGGGCAGAATGGAGAAGGGTGATTTCTCACTTTCTGTCTCTCTGGTGAGCATACATGCCTATAGCAAAAATCTCTAAAAATAAAAAAAAGAGTTACCAATAGAGGAGGAAAATAAAGTGAATTCTGGGAACTTGGACTGGAATTAGAGATTATTGGTGTGATCTCATAGTTTCAGTATATATATAGAAATATGTATCGGTTTAATTATATATGCCTGTCTATAAATATATTGCCTAGCAATGTCCGTGAAAGCAACTAGAATGAAAACATAATAACTGAGCACACCCTGAGTTCAGACATTGGTCTCTGAGGACCTGGGATTTCTTGGAGAAATGATTGGTTCTAGGAACTGGAGTGGGGAAATGTAAAAATTAGCCTGGAGTACCTTTGGGGGACATAAAGTAAAAAAAGTGCTTAAAGAATCATGGGAGTTTGATTGATTGATTGCCCTTTTGAGAAAGGACAGAGGATCTTGAAGAGGCACCCACCAGCCAAACATGGGATGATTTGAGCATCAAATGATGATAGTAATAGATAATAACCCACTGAGAAAAAATGGAAATCATGAATCTATACTGATAGGAATAAATGAACTAAAGTTGGGTGAGTAATCAGATTTTCATATAAAGTAACTTCCTATAAAATTACTAATAGCATAGGAAAGAAGGACTTCACTTCTGTCTGTGATAATCCTGTCCAGTGGATCACCTGAATTTAGTCATAAGAATACATCAAACAGACCTGCATTGAAGAATTTCTACAAATTAATCTGTAACCTTTAATAATGCCAAAGTCATAAAAATCAAGGAAAGACTGAGGAAGTGTTCCAGGTTGAAGGAGCCTAAAAAAAAAAAGATGTCGGGAACCAGCAGTTAGCGTAATGGCTATGTCGCTGGACTCCCATGTAGTCCTCCACGGTTCGTGTCCTGGACCCGGTGGCTTAAAACTCACGCTGGGCGCATGTGCGTTCGTACCCAAGATCCCGAGAGGAGAATGGAGGAGAAGGGATTGCGGCGTGACCATCCCTCCTGGGGGGTGATTTCTCGCTTTCTCTCTGTCTGTCTGGCGAGCACACGTGGCCTATAGTGGAAAAAACCTCTCCAAAAAAAAAAAAAAGATGTCTAAGGCCATAGTGATTCCGAATTGCATTCTTTTCCTTTAAGGGGCACTATTGGGACATTTGGCAAACATGAGTAAGTTCTTAAGTATTAGATAGTAATAATTACATCCATATTAGTGTGCTAATTTTGATGATTGCATTGTGGGTTAATCTTCTACAATGATTGCATTGTAGGAGAAGGCCCTTCTTTGTAGGACATAAACAGTGAATATTTGGGTGTTGGGGCATTAGTACGCAACACAGTCTCAAGTAATTCAGTAAAAAGTTTTATCTGTAACTCTTCCCTAAATTTGACTGTTTCAAAATAAACTATGTTGATTTATTTAAAAACAAAATAGAACTAATTTGCATTGGTCATTCCCAGAGCTCCTGTAGATTCTGCTGTCCCCAAAATCCAAAGTATGTGAGCAAGAATGATGGCTCATCCTAGCCCAATCCTAAAACCACCAAAGACAAGCCTATAATCCAGCCAAGTCAGATCTATTAGCTCACTGCAACCAAGGAGACTGCACACAAGAACTACAGGGTGTCCCTCCATACAAAGTAAGAGGTATTTGGGGCCAGGAGGTGGCCCAGCAGACCACAATGCTCTGCAAGGTTGGCCTACTTGAGAAGGTTCTGAAGAACTCCCTGAGTGCTCTGGGCCTACACATGTGCCCATGATGCTTAACTGGCTGAGGCTGGGGGTAGACTGCTTGTCAAGATCTCCTTGGGGATGTGGTTTCTCCTTCATGGAAAAAATGAAAAAAAAAAAAAAACCCTCCTTTTACAAAGTAAAAGTTGAGCCAGCCAGTGGTTAAGGCAGCTAGATTCCACATGGCCAACAGCGTGGTTCAAGTCCCAGACCCGGAGGCTCAAAAAACATTCTGTGCACATGTGCATGTGTGCCAAAATCCTGAGTTGAGTGGAGAAGGGATCATTGTGGCACAGCCATCCCACCCCCACCCCCACCCCCCCAGAATACTTTCACACTCTCCCTCTCTCTCTCTCTGGTGAAAACAGCCAAAACTAAAAAAAAAAAAAAAAAAAAAAGAAAGTTATTGTAGGATTTGAGGAGACTAAAGTTTAGGTAAAATTTAAATAAAGCTTTGTATAGACTCACCACAAAGCAACACTGTATGTTAAGGCATGGATATCAGGTCTGGACTGAGAAATAGATGTAGGGTTATGTTTCCATGGAAAACATATAGTTACGAAAACGTGGATTGTTGCTTTTAAAAAGCCCTTATCTGAAGCTCTGCACCTGGATAAAAATTGAAGCTACTTCTCTGGGTTAAAGTGGCTTAGGTCCTCCAGCCAAGGACGGGATATTTCATTCTTACCGATATAATTTCAAAATGCAATGTTTCTGTGTACTCTCAAGAACACGGTTTCTCTGTATGATGACATAATGGTTATGTCGCTGGACTCCCACATAACCCGTGGCTGAGTCCCAGACCGGGTAACTTAAACCTCACGGGGGGCGAGGTTTGGGTGCGTGCATTCCCCAAGTCCGGAGAGAAGACTGGAGAAAGGATTACCGCGTGGCCATCCTCCCGCGGGGTGATTTCTCCCTTTCGGCCCGTCTCTCCAGTAAGCGCAGGCGCGCCTAGAACGAAAACATAAAAAATAAAAATTTTTTTAAAAATGTGCGAACTGAAAGATAGGGGTTATTACACTTTCCGTTCAGTGTGTTGTAATAGTTATCCTAATGACGCAACTGGCTTTGTCCGACTGTTAGGCATCCCTATGAACTGGTGTTTCGATGTTTACTTTTTCAACGCGACTGGACCTAACACTTTCTCAACAGTTACACATGAAGTAGACTCGGGCTCCCAAGTCACAGGTAATCATCCTCTCAGAGCATTGCTGAAGTTTTGGGTTTGCTTGATTCGCTTTCCTCTCATTGCGGACCTCAGGTCTCCTTGGAAATCCGAGATCCAGCGCCAGATCACACGCACCTCCCTTCCTTCAAATCACGGTTCAAGCATCTCGCGGTCCCAGACCACACTCAATGCGTCTGTGCAGGCCCGCTCTTCTCAAACCCTATTGGCTGAAATCTACGCCTCTCATAGCAGAGGCTCCGAGGGCGGGACAAGAGCAACTGTGCCTCCCCTGGCGCGATAAGATGATGTCACAGTAGCGGGACCGGGCTTCTTCGGTTGGTGGGGGCTGTCGGGTCGCTGGCTAGTGTTGTTTGAAGACCACTCCGTTATGACCATCTGTCAATTCTTCCTTCAAGGCCGATGCCGCTTCGGAGACCGGTGCTGGAACGAACATCCCAGCGCCGGGAGTTGGGGCAGGGGACGACAGCAACAGCCCGCGGGTAAGGTTCCCCTCAATCCTCCGCCTTGGGCAGAGCCGGGGAAGGCCAGGTCGGAAGGGACTGGGCGTCCCGCGTGGGTCCCCGAGCTGGGCGCAGAGCCTCAGCGCGCCACTGCTCGGTCTCGCCTGCCACGCCCGCAGACCGCGCAGTGTTCCGATCTGATGTTTTTATCCGCCTTCCAGGGAAATGTTCCGGTTTTGTTGAGCAGATGAGGACCCGCCTTTGCCGCTGGATGCTAGCGCTAAACAATGAGTTTTTTAAATCCGAAGGACCTATCAGAACTGTTTCGCGGGTGGATGGCAGTGGTTGGAATTCGCGTGGGTCGACCCAAAGGCCATCTTCCTTGTCTTATTACCCTTACGTGCACTTTTTTTCCCCCTTGACATCTTGCTTATAATTTTTACTAAATTCTTTTTTCGAGGGAGAGGCTAGCAACGCAAGTCAGAAAAAGAACTCAATTTGAGGGAAGTCGTGAAGTCCTCTAAAAAGTTAATAAAAGTTATAGAGCTATACCACAGAAAAATGCGCATGCCATAAAATTGGGAGTAAAAGTTGGAGGATGAGACGCCTGGTTCAGAAATCTGGGTTGGGGGACCAGCAGTTAGTGTAATGGCTATGTCGCTGGACTCCCACGTAGTAGACCGCGGGTCGAGTCCCAGACCCTGCAGCTTAAACTCACGCTGGGTGCGTGTGCGTGCATGCCCAAGATCCCGAGAGGAGAATGGAGGAGAAGGGATTGCGGCATGGCCATCCCCCCTGGGGGGTGATTTCTTGCTTTCTGTCTCTCTGTCTCTGTCTTTCTGGCGAGTGCAGGCGCCTTATAGTAAAAACCTCTCTAAAGAAAAAAAGAAAAGAAAGAAATCTGGGTTAAGGGACTAGCAGGTGGTGTGGTGGTTAAGACACTGGACACTCCCACATGGCCGACCAGAGTTCGAATCCTGAATCTGGTGGCTTGCTTTCTCACTTCCTCTCCTTCTCACTCTCTGCCTCTGTCTCTATGGTCAAGTTAAAAAATAAATGAATGAATAAATAAATTATTTAAAAAAAAATCTGGTTTAAAATTGGGAGGAAGTGATTGCCTAATTAAGAACTAGAGAAGCGGGACCAGCAGTTAGCGTAAGGGCTATGTTGCTGGACTCTCACGTAGTCGACTGCCGTTCGAGGACCCCGTGGCTTAAACTCACGCCATACGCATGTGCGTATGTGCCCAAGATCCTGAGAGGAGAATGGAGGAGAAGGGATTGCGGCATGACCATCCCCCTGGGGGGTGATTTCTCGCTTTCTGTCTCTCTGTCTCTCTCTGTCTGGTGAGCGCTCGCGCCCTATAGCAAAAACCTTTCTGGAAAAAAAAAAAAAACTAGGGAAGCAAATATGAGGATCACTTTGACCTGCTTCCTAAGCCTGGATTGTCGCAGTTGTTTTTGTTTTCAGGGAGTGAAGGAATCAGACATGAATCCAAAGTACAACACTTGTTTCGAAGCACAGAAGAATAATTAGGTTTTGTTTCTTAGGACTGGAACTAGTGCTTTCAGGTATCAAGTAGGTGCTGTCCCTTCTTTCCATTAGGGCTGTTCATCTGATCTTAAATCTTGTGCTGCATGGTGGTTTCAAGTCTGATTCCTTTTCCTGAAGACAGCCCTTGGTGTCATTCACAGTTGGTCTAGTGAAATATTCCAAACTAAAAATTGGGACTCGGGATCTGATAGATGCGAGTGTATTTCCAGGGACAACAGAATATAATATTTGTCATTCTGTGGAAATTTGCTCAAGATGCAGATGTAAAAATAAATGTTGTGGCCAGCAGGTGGCGGTGGTTGAGTAAAAACAGCTTTTTATCAGTAAGGAGCCTATTATGATTTAGAATGTATGGTTTATTTAATAAACTTGTGTCAGCGGAACTTAGTTACATATCATTATTTTCTATGGATTTATAGTACTTTAAGTCTCATTAAACAGAAATGCAATTAAACTGTTACATGATTTATTGATAATTCAAAATAAAAAGATTGTCATTTTAAATCAGTAGAAATATAGTGCCTGTGGAATGTTGGCATAATGTCTAGACATAGTACGACAAAATATAATGAAGATTTTTGAGATGTAAAGAGGAGGTGCCAGTAAAGTTGTCCCTTTTTTTGTTTTAGGTAATAACAGACGAGGATGGAATAACACAAGTCAAAGATATTCCAGTGTCATCCAGCCATCTAGTTTCTCCAAATCCACACCATGGGGGGGCAGCAGAGATCAAGAAAAGCCATCTTGCAGTTCTTTTGATTCTGGAGTGTCAACAGGCAAGAACAGTGTCTTTGGGTTGTCTCAGAATCCATTTGCCTCAGTTAGCTCTGAAGAACAGAAGGATGAAAAGAAACTTCTGTAAGTCAAAGTCTCCAAGAAAATATTACCCATTTGCTTATTTTTTCCAAAGTATCGACAATATTTCCTTTGACAAAGAAGTAGTGTGTTGGGCTGGCAGCTGGTGTGATGGTTAAGGATGCTGGGCTCCCTCATGGCTGACTTTCTTACTCTTTCTCATTCTGTCCTTCTCAGGTCCAATTTAAATAAAGAAATAAAGTTAAATAAGATAATTCTTTAAAAAAAAAAAGTATTGTCTTATTGAAAAATCAGGGCCAGCTGATGGTGTGCTGGTTAAGGCAGCCAGATCCCACACATCCAACTGTGTGGTTTGAGACCCAAACCCAGTGGCTTAAAAACCTGCTGGGCACATGTGCATGCTTACCCAGAATCCCAAAGGATGGGATGCTAGTGAAATATTCCAAACTAAAAATTGGGACTCGGGATCTGATAGATGCGAGTGTATTTCCAGGGACAACAGAATATAATATTTGTCATTCTGTGGAAATTTGCTCAAGATGCAGATGTAAAAATAAATGTTGTGGCCAGCAGGTGGCGGTGGTTGAGTAAAAACAGCTTTTTATCAGTAAGGAGCCTATTATGATTTAGAATGTATGGTTTATTTAATAAACTTGTGTCAGCGGAACTTAGTTACATATCATTATTTTCTATGGATTTATAGTACTTTAAGTCTCATTAAACAGAAATGCAATTAAACTGTTACATGATTTATTGATAATTCAAAATAAAAAGATTGTCATTTTAAATCAGTAGAAATATAGTGCCTGTGGAATGTTGGCATAATGTCTAGACATAGTACGACAAAATATAATGAAGATTTTTGAGATGTAAAGAGGAGGTGCCAGTAAAGTTGTCCCTTTTTTTGTTTTAGGTAATAACAGACGAGGATGGAATAACACAAGTCAAAGATATTCCAGTGTCATCCAGCCATCTAGTTTCTCCAAATCCACACCATGGGGGGGCAGCAGAGATCAAGAAAAGCCATCTTGCAGTTCTTTTGATTCTGGAGTGTCAACAGGCAAGAACAGTGTCTTTGGGTTGTCTCAGAATCCATTTGCCTCAGTTAGCTCTGAAGAACAGAAGGATGAAAAGAAACTTCTGTAAGTCAAAGTCTCCAAGAAAATATTACCCATTTGCTTATTTTTTCCAAAGTATCGACAATATTTCCTTTGACAAAGAAGTAGTGTGTTGGGCTGGCAGCTGGTGTGATGGTTAAGGATGCTGGGCTCCCTCATGGCTGACTTTCTTACTCTTTCTCATTCTGTCCTTCTCAGGTCCAATTTAAATAAAGAAATAAAGTTAAATAAGATAATTCTTTAAAAAAAAAAAGTATTGTCTTATTGAAAAATCAGGGCCAGCTGATGGTGTGCTGGTTAAGGCAGCCAGATCCCACACATCCAACTGTGTGGTTTGAGACCCAAACCCAGTGGCTTAAAAACCTGCTGGGCACATGTGCATGCTTACCCAGAATCCCAAAGGATGGGATGGAGAAGAAGGAATTGCTGCATGGCCATCCCCAATGCTTTCTCCCTTCTCCCTTCTCTTGCCCCTCTCAGGCAGCAAGTCTACACATCCTTTGGCAAATTAATTTTTTAAAAAATCAGAGAAAGCAAAAAGGAAAAAAATCACCAATGATGCCATCATTCAGAGATCACCACTATTTTGCTATATGTCATCCTAGACTTTAATTCACTTATGCATGTATCATTTCTTCTTATCAGTAGGGTATTTTCTTGGGGCTGATTATGCTTTTTCCACTTTCTCATAATAACACTGTATTGTGAGTAGCTTTCTAATGTTAGGACTGCTTAAGTTCTTTGTAAATTATTAATTCTTTAAAGTATGAAGTAATTTAGGACAATTCATTATCTTTTTTTTTTTTTTTTTGGAGAGGTTTTTTGCTATAGGGCGCGTGTGCTTGCCAGACAGACAGAGAGAGACATAGAGACAGAAAGCGAGAAATCACCCCCCAGGGGGGATGGTCACACCGCAATCCCTTCTCCTCCATTCTCCTCTCGGGATCTTGGGCACGCATGCACACGCTCCCGGCGTGAGTTTTAAGCCACCAGGTCCGGGACGCGAACCGTGGTCGACTATGTGGGAGTCCAGCGACATAGCCATTACGCTAACTGCTGGTTCCCAACAATTCATTATCTTTGAGGTCACATGTAGCTTCTCTTTTCTTTCTGAAACTTATATTTTAATGATCTATTCAAGCTAATTTCATTGATTGTCATAGAATAGGCACATGACATTTCTTTTTGTTTGTTTTTGTTATCAGGTTCAATCACTCACCAGAGAGATGCAGATAGAGAGACAAAGAAAGGGAGGGAGAGAGAAAAAGTGAGAAATCACTCCCAGGAGCAATGGCCATACCATAATCCCTTCCCTTCCATTCTCCTCTTGATATTTTGGTCATCATGCACATGTGCCTAGTGTGTTCTTCAAGCTGCCAGGTTCAGGATTCAAACCATGCAGTCAGTGATGTGAGGTCCTGCTGCCTTCACCACCATACCACCAGCTGACCCAGTTCAATCACTTTCTTGAGAACATTGTAGTTAAATTTATGACTGGTGCCAACATAATGCTTGACCATTTATAACATTCCTTCAGCTCTTGACTCCTGGGATAGATGTATATACCAGTTGGTCTTTTACTTCCTGTGACTATATTAAAACTTGTGGTGGAACCAGCGTGCATAACAATTATGTCACTGGACTCTCATGTAGCTGACCAAGGTTTGAATCTGAGACCTTAAGTCCTTGCAGCTTAAATTCATGCCTGGCACATGTGTGTTTGTGTCCCAAATCCTGAGACAAGAATGAAGAAGGGATTGCGGCATGGCCATGTCCCTCTTGGGTGATCTCACACTTTCTGTCTCTCTGTCTCTTTCTGTCTCTCCAGCAAGCACATGTGCCTGATAGCAAAAATCTCTCTTTAAAAAAAATTTTTTTTGGGGAACCAGCAGTTAGCATAATGGCTATGTCGCTGGACTCCCACATCGTCAACCGTGGTTCGTGTCCCGGACCCGGTGGCTTAAAACTCACGCCGGGCGCGTGTGCGTGCGTGCCCAAGATCCCGAGAGGAGAATGGAGGAGAAGGGATTGCGGTGTGACCATCCCCCCTGGGGGGTGATTTCTCGCTTTCTGTCTCTATGTCTCTCTCTGTCTGTCTGGCGAGCGCACGCGCCCTACAGTGAAAATCTCTCAAAAAAAAAAAATTTTTTTTTGATCTATGTACCACATATATACAATTGATTTTTTTTAAGTGAAAGAAAACGAAACTCTCCTTCCTATTTTTGCTGCAATCCTACATTTAATGTAGTGTTCTCTGTGATGTCTATCATTTGTTATTGCATTCTGGAAGAGGGAAAACTGTAATTTACAACCAACCAAATGTATCCATGGCTTTGCCACAAATTTACTGTGGGTCTACTTGTGGGTTTACTTTGCATGTTGAAAATTGATAATTTAACAAAAAGTTCTCTGAAGTCCTGTGACTCACTTTAACAATTTCATGATTCTATTGATATATAACACTTAAATAGTACTTTTCTGTTCTTCCCAGTTAAATGATTATTGGTGTTTATGATAACAGAAAGATTAAAATTACATTATATATTTTATAATACTGTAGTTCTTTAAAAAAAATTTGGTGACCCAGTCACCATGGCATCAGAGAGAGGGCACCACTCATTGTGGCTAGGAATACTAGGAGACCCAGGTTCGGTTTCTAGCCCAACAGGCTGAGTATGGTGGCACACACCTGTGATCCTAGCTAACCAGGAGACTGGAACAGGAAGATCATGGCATGTTAAGACTCTGTCAAAAATACCTGTATCTGTTTCCCTCCCCTCTCTGTCTCCCCTTTCTCTATCCCTTCTCCTACCACACATCTATGCTCTCTCTTTCTTGCTTTAATTAAAAGTAAAAGTGTGTTATCTGATAGTTCTTACTTCAGTATGTTAGTTAATTGTTCAGTATATTGAAAAACAAAGTTATTAACTTCTGACATTGTAATATTTATAACTACAAATATAGTTTATTTATAAACTGCTGCTTTAAGGAACACTCTTTAGAAAATATAATAAAAACATTTTATTTTATTTATTATTTATTTTTTTTGGAGAGGTTTTTGCTATAGAGCACATGAGCTCACCAGAAAGACAGAGAGACAGAAAGTGAGAAATCACCCCCCAGGGGGGATGGCCACACCGCAATCCCATCTCTTCCATTCTCCTTTCGGGATCTTGGGCAGTCACACACACGCGCCCGGCATGAGTTTAAGCTGCCAGGTCCAGGACTCAAACTGTGATCGACAACATGGGAGCCCAGGATATAGCCATTACGCCAACTGCTGGTCCCATAATAGAAACATTGTTAATTACATTTTACTAGAATTTAAAATTTTAGTCATTGAAAACCATAAAGACAAATTTTAAGAATAGGTGAAAAAGATCCTTTGCTTTTTTTCAGGGAAGGAATTGTAAAAGATATGGAGATTTGGGAATCATCAGGGCAGTGGATGTTTTCTGTTTATTCACCAGTGAAAAAGAAACCTCATATATCAGGTAACTGAGAAATCATATGTTCTTAATATGTGTTCTAAAACTATTACTTTCTAAAACCAAGACCATGCCAAATAAATTAACCACAAACTTAGCTGCATTTAGAAGTCTGGACATTTTTTAAAGTGTTTGAGTACTTTCTAGCAGAACTTAATTATTCAGAGATTGAAGTTAGAGAATTTATTTATTTTTTTTAAGATATTTTGCTCTCATGAGAAATTGTAAAATAAGGCCCACAATTCCAATCCTGTGAACCCAGGAAGTGTTCTTGGTTCTCTGTGTATACAACTTCAGTACCTCTTAGCTGCCTTCAGTGAAGAGAAGAGCCTGCCATTAAAATCTTGGCAGCCTGGTTCTGCTCTCTTTCTTTCCTATCTTTCCCTCTAAGAATACTTACTTTTTTGTAAATCATGCTGATACCTATCCTAGAGATAGTGTTTGAAGGTGAGGAGCATTAGCTAAGCTATTGGGGTAGCAGTTCTTTAGAATACCCCTTTCTTTCCCATTTTTTTTTTGCCCAGAATCTCTCAGCCCATTCTGGACTAAAGCCTTGACCACTGAGGTTTCTGGGTGGTCCTCAGCCTTGGTCCTATTGAGCAGATAGCAGGTACCGGCATATGGGAGTCTTGCAGTCAATACCCCAGAACTCTGGAATCTCCATCCTGTCTCAGCTCTGCCTACCCATTTTCAATGAACATTTGTATCAGCACTCCTTAGTTATTTATACTCTCAGTCATTCAACAAATATGTATTGAATTTCTTTTTTGCCAAGCCTAGTTCTAAGTGCTAAGAATGTAGTGATGAGCAAGACAGGCAAGATCCCTCTCTTATGAAACGTATGTTCTTGGGGGAGGAAGACAATAATTATTTTAAGTAGTAAGACCATTTCAGATAGTGATAATTTCTATAAAGAAAACAATGAAGTATTGGGCCTTTGGTCAGTTTAAATATTAATACTTAATAAGTACTTCAGTATTGTCTCAATTAGTTTGGAATTGAACCTAATAACCTGAAGCAGCGGTTTTCAAAATGTGGATCCCTGAGCAGGGTTGCCAGATAAAATATAAGACATCCAATTAAATTTAAATTCAGGTAAACAAAAGTATTTTTAGTTTATGTATATCCTATGTAATATTTGGGACATGCTTACACTAAAAAAGTATTTGTCATATGTCTTAAATTAAAATTTAACTGGGCATCTTATATTTTTTTAAAGTTCATTTGTTTACTTCTTTTACCAGAGGCAGAGACACACACCCTCAACAGGGTCTTCAGGCAACAATCTACTACTAGCTCAGCTGGATCATGGGCACACATCCATGTGCCAGTATGCACAGGGTGTCCCAGGATGGGAACTAGGGACCTTCCCTTGTGGGTTCAGCATTGCAAAGTGTTGTTATGTGTTGTGTTGTGTTGTGTTGTGTTGTGTTGTGTTGTGTTGTGTTGTGTCATGTCGTGTCGTGTTGGCAGGCTCAGTATCCTGTATTTCTTTTTGCTAAATTTAGCAGCCTTCTCTCTGAGACTCTTTTAGGAGCAGTACAACTTCAGAATTATTCTCAGAGACAAACAGTAACACAGCAATAATGCAATTGGGCCCACATAGGAAGGTCCCCAGGTGGGGTATTTCTGTGCCTTCCTATATACACTGGGCACATGCATGCATACCTGGTGATTTGGGCTGACTAAGGCTGGAGGGTAGATCATGATATCAAAACCTTATTGGGGATTCCTGTCTCTGTCTGTCTCTCTCTCTGGCTCTTTTATATGGAAGAAATAACCTTTTTAAAAAACTTTAAAATATTTTCATAATACAAAGACATTGATTGACATCATCATTGTGTGGATATTTGCATTTTGGTGAAAAAGCATTGATGAGTAAAACTGTTTATATATTAGCATGAATCAACAGACTACTAGTTGACTATAGTAGTCACAATAAAAAAAAAAACAAAAAGTTAAATGGCATTTTAAATGACCCTTGATAGGGCCAGCCCTGGAAACAGATCCCACATGGCTGACCATTTAGTTCAAATCCTGGCCCCAACAATTTGTTAAACATGCCAGGCATATGTGCCTAAAATCCCAACAGGATAGAGAAATGCAGAAGGAATTGCAGCATGACCATGCCCCACTAGGGAATGCTTTCTCGCTCTACTTACACATATTTGGTTTGAGTTCACATGTCTCTGCTGAGCACATGCACCCTCTGGCAAATAAATTTAAAAAAGAAAATGTCTTTGATAAACAGATAAAAGTTTTTTTTTTTTTTTTCCAATTTTGACCCTTGAGTATATACGTTTTTAATATTCTGTGTGACAAAGTAGAAAACATGCATATAGTCCCATACCCAACCATGGTGGTTATCTTGAAGGAAAGCACTTGTGTGATCATTTGAGTTGAGAGCTGAGCTAGCCACTTTTTTCACAGATAATTTTTATTTTTTTAAAAAAATGACAACTGGAGCTGGCACTGTGGCAGAGAAGTAGTGTGCTATGCAAGGGAAATTAAATGCCACATGGTGACCATAGTTCCAATGTCCAGCCTAGTCAATCTGAAATACACGAGGTTCATGCATGAGTGCCCCAAGATCCGGTGGGCTGGAGGACTGAGGAAGGCGATTACAGCCTGTGGAAGGGGGTCCTTTCTG